GCCCTCACAATACTGAAGAAGAAGAAGATTATATTGAATCAGACAGTTACTATAACAAATTAGGCCCCTTCCTCTCCCAGGGCTGCTATCTGGTTTGGTAACCTCGGCGACTTCATGTCAAACCTTCAGGTGGAAACCCAGACACCAACTTAACATTCCAAGGAAGAGCTGTAATTGGGACACACGCTACAGTCGTCTGTACCTGACCTGATAGTCCTGTATGTTATTATCCAGGTAGAGAAGAAAACATTATACATGCACCCGGCAGCATAAGGCGTTGAAAGCATCTGTGTGACATAATATAGCTGCAATACAAGCCAGGGGTGTCTGAAGTTAGGAGCTCACACACTCTGAGCACCCTTACCCTAATAATCTGAAGGGGTGGGCCAAAGCGGACCTCCACCTTACCCCTAGAAAATCTGCAAGGGATTAAGTAACCCCTCCCCTCCCACCACCACCACCCCGCCCCCAACAATGTACAGAGGCCGTCTAAATATATGTCATAACATTCCATAGGATTTCACATGTATAATTATAATTATTTGCAGGTCAGCACATAATAATAAGTAGTATTATTATTGTACATTTAAAAAAGACTTAGGGCCCTGGTCAATAGAACATTTATAAGCGATTTAAGGTAGCCTGTGTGCGTGCCATTTTCACCTTCTGGGCTACTACAGGAAGGTATGGCGCCCTGAGATTACAAACCCCATTCAACCTTCGAAGTTATAATTGAGGCACTGGTAGCAGCTACATCAAGCTTTAAAAATGAATGCTTTGTTTGGATTGGAAGCGGGTTTGAAAAAAAGGGGGGGGGGGGGGAAACAACCTAGTCGGTCCCATAATACTGGCCAGACCTGTAAGTCAGGTCGCCAAGCCTTCTGGGGACCGCCTTGTTAGAATTTTGATGTTTACACAGTGCTCCCAAAGAACTGCACCGATGTTTTCCCCGTGTCGGCGCCCCTGGGGCAAATATAACTGAAATATTCGAAAAATACCATAAATTTATGCAGAAAATTAATATAATTAAACACTGTATAATTAAACAGCTTATATACAGCTGTTAATATTTTGTATTACTTTCGACCCTATCCAGCTGTAATATTACTAGTTCAACAAATATTTAATATAATTATTACAGCTTAACAAAAAGTACAGGCAATCCGCTGCAAAGTGAACTTCGGGTGAGCTCAGCTCAACCCCACGACGCCCCACCCACTCACGCACATTAGAAACCATTGGGCTTCCACTGTCATTCTAAGTTAGGGCAGATGCAGACACGACAGTAATCAGTAAGATAGACTGGTATCCAGGGCTTTCCTCCTCTAATAACAAAGGGGCCGATACTCATCACATTGTCTTTTCAAAAAGATGACAGCACTTCCACCGCAGAATGTCTGTTAAATCAAACTCGAAAAAAAAAAACGCCTTTAAAATGTGCTGCTTGGGGAGGAAAAAAAAGGGGGAGCTGTGATGGGAGGGACCTTTGACGGCGCCTATGAACAGTTCATGCCCGTGGTTGTTACCCTTGTCCTATATCTAGAAAATAGGTTAACCTACATGCCAGCAGCAAGATAGTTTGAGTTTGTTTAAACTTTCTATAGCAATGACTTAGCAAAGTTATCTGCCACACTGCCCTTAGAAAACGACCAGACAGGATTTGATTAGGTTTGTTATATATTGTGTCGATGAAATAATACTGTACTAATATTTGAGAAGTATTTTGCCGTGGATGACATTTATGTGAGTGTAGTTTAGCATTTGTATTATTTAGTAAATAATTTCATAGTCAACCAAGCTAATGCTAGCATTAGATTTGCTTGTGTGAACATATATTAACACAATGTCCCTTAATGTAGCTAGCTGTAGGGAGCTCTAATATAATATTAACATTTTATTGAATTGGATAACTAATTCACTCTGTATATTTACCACCCAAAAAGGGTGACTTACTGGTCGTCAAACCTTGAGTTTCAGCTGTAGAGGTTTCCCAAAAACAATTAACCTAATTGTAACTTGTTTTTCAGGTTGTTTTTTTAAATTCTTTTTGATTAAAATTTTTAAATAAGTAGTTGCAATTTAAAACTACGATATGGCATTTAACCCATCTGTCTTATATTCGAGATATATAGTTTTATTTTTTGTTTCAATAATGAATTTGTATGCTTGTGGATTACTGTTTGCTATTTAGTAAATAATATTGCGTATATTAAATTTAACAATCTATACTGGTATAGTCTTTCACTACATGAGATTAGATTGTCAAGTTTAATATATGTTAAATGTACTTTTTTACATGATTGCGATAACCAAAGAATATTAAAAATTGTATTCTCTGTTTATTTTAAATAGCAAACGTAATCTGAAGCCTAGACACTGATGATAAGTATTTGAAGTAAAGGGCCCTTATCACACCAGTGACCCATCTGGCATATCAGGCTTAGGCTCACATTTTTGTATGCCAGTCAACACTTGATAAGTGATGTGGACAACATCATGCCTGAGTCTAGAAAGGTACCAGCAGATCATCATCATTATCAAGTAGCGGGACCTTTGCAGACTGTTACTCCCAACACGGTCTGTCTGAAAGAAACGCAGTCTCTCACCAGATCTCCCACTTTGTGCACTTGCATATCCAAGGAGTGACTTATATCCTGTGCCCATCTTCTTGTTGTTCGGCCCTGCCCCTCCTTACTGGTACCAATCCACTGTTGCGCTTGATATGACCAAAATATTTCACCTTTCGAGACAAGATGCTGTTTATTAATATATCTTCCTCGATGTTTAGATCTTTTAAAATGTAAGTATTTCTTCTTTTCTTTGTCCATGCTATTCTGAGAATATTTCTATAGCATTTCAGTCCAAAAGCTCTATTTTCTTTCTTACAGACTAGGAGATAATCCACGACTCACATCCGTATATTGCTACAGAGAAGATTCAAGCTCTCAGAATTTTTAATTTTGATTTTCTTGCTGGTGCTTAACCATAGACTTTTAATTTATTCATCATTTACTTTTATTTTTGGGCGATAACAAGTTTTGTCTGTGGACATTATTTTCATTTTCTTTAAATTCAAGAACAGGTTTTGATCTTCACTGTGATATTTAAGAGACATCTATTCCCTGTGTCATCTGTATACTAGCTACAAATGTATTTTATATAAGTTAGAGGTCCTGTTTCACACAGTGAAACACTTTACACTGCTAATGTAATACTATTATGCCATGGTTTTTATATTTTAACACTATTTATGATGATGTCTCTTATTTCTGTTTTTATTTTCTGATGAAGACTTATTACCACAACATACTCTGCCTTTTTTGTTGTTGGGATTCTCCTCATACTAAGCTGACCTTTTATGCTTTTTTTTTTCCCTGCTGATCTAACAATGTGATGCCACTTTAGCAGAAGACAGACTGCACTGAATGTTTTAAACATAATAATTTTGTATTGAACACTTTTTAACTTAATAACAAGAAATATAAACTATGAAAGACTGCCCTGAATCAGTGTATGAGTGCACTAACTCTTTCAGTTCCAAACAACGCGAGATGTGTTACTGATTATACCCCACATGCCTCCAGTGTCTCACATCAAGTGTTTTCTTATATTTAAGTCTCAGTCAGTGTATACTCAATAAATATGGTAACTAAAGGGGTATCTGTCATTCACTTTTCATTCCTACTACACAAGTGGTTAGAGTTTTTGTGGCAGTAGTTAACACTTAAAATTATAAGTTTTCTACAAAACCTTTTGAGACCAGAAGAATTATCCCTACGATAATTTAAAAAAAAAACGGGCTTAAGATAGATAGCTCTAAAAGACTACAGGTAAAGGATTAAATGATTTTTTTTTTAAAAGGCACAAAAATTGGTAAATGAGATATTTATAGCAAAGCAAAATAACCCAGATCACTTTAAATATACCAAAAGATAGATAACACAATCTAATGATCACAATTATTTGAAAAGGACACATACATTATTATGCTCAAAACTTATAATGTATAATCTTTTATAATAAAAACATAATCACTGCTTTATTAAATAGCCAAATGCATTATAAAAGCAATGTTCAATATCAGAAAAGGTTAAAAAAATGTCATTGATTAAACTACTACTATTAGCACTACTTTTACTACTACTTTTGGGGCTACTCCTACTACTACTACAAGACTTGCTAGCATAGTGGCTAGATCCCCATCAGTCAGTCCAAAGGTCTTGGGTTCTAATCTGCACAGGCCAGATTTATGGGGAGGAAGTGGGGGGGGGGGGGGGGGGGGGCGGTTGGCTCCCAGGTCGACAAAGTCTCAAATGGGTACCAGAGTTTATTTATAGAAATGGGTACCAGGAAATTTCCTGGTAAGAAAATACAACCAGTGTGATTTTTATCACATCACCCATTGAGGCCTGAGTAAATTATACAAATACAAGTCTTGCAGAATATGCCCAATGTGTCACTGGTGTGAAAAAAAGCCTTTTCTTTACTACTATTACTGTTGGTGCTAAAACCTTACAACTAGTAACCCATTTTCATGTGTGTGTCTAAACCAGAATCATCAATGCCATACAAGATACTATTTGCAGTGAGGATTTCAGTTTTGCGGAAAATGATTTTTCACTAAATAGACTGCATATCCTGGGTGTAACAACTGGAGCCGCATGACAGGAAAACCATGCAGAAGCCACCTGTCGTTACATCAAACAGAAAACAGAATGGGAGTTGTTAGCCTGAAAACACTTGGAGACAGACTCAGGAGGAGATCAGAGCAATTATGGTCATGTCTGATGTGCAATAAAGATGATCTTTAAATGAACAATGCACAAAGAACTGCTACAACTGCTGCTGCTGTTGCTAAAACATTACAACTAGTAACCAATTTTCATGTATGTGTCTAACCCAGAAAAAGTGTGTATTAAGACTGCTGTTGTTTGAAAACTAGAAACCAACTAATAAATCTGTGTATTTGATCTTTCTAGAGCAGTTTACGAGAAGTGACAATGGACATATTGCTTCAGTTGTGCCAGACTCCAGCACATAATTCAGCACAACTGCAGCAAGAACTGTCTGAAAAAGTGCTGGAGGTTGCCAGAAAACATCATCTGGACCTTAGCCAGCCCGAGAAACTTAGTGTTGGAATTCATAATCCTCTAAGTGAAGCTTGTCTGAAAGGAAATTTAGCCATTGTGAAGGTATCACTATATACTTTTAATTTGTATTTCACTGTCACACATGTCTAGAATGATACATTTAATGTTGAATTAAGAATCAACATCTCAGCACTCGGGATACCCCCTTCCCCATAAGCGCTCCATCCCTATCTTCAGCAGTAAGTGAAGAGTTCCAATTCCGATGGCACCAATAACTGTTTAAACCCAGCATTATTTTGCTGTTGTGGCTTTTCTAGGCAACATTTACATTTAGTAGTTTGCCATTGCTTATGGTGTCACTCTAGAAACCAACTCAAGACGTTCTGCTGCCAAATCATCCACAGCTGGGATCGAACCTGGCACCACCATTACAAAGTGTGTTCACAATGCCTAAGCCACAGTATAATCATTACAGCTGCTAATGATAACTTCCTTGGCTGTTACTGACAATAAAAGTATCTAAATGCTAATATTTTCTTCTTGTTACAAATATCACAATATCACATTATATGTTGGTTTATAGTCTAATATATGATTCTTCTTCTTCTTCTGCATTTTAAGTCCATGGGGTTTACTGCTGCAGATATCACACACCTCCATTCATCTTTCTGATTTGCTTTCTCTTCATAGTTTGTGAGTCCAAATGTTTGTAGGACTGCATGTATATTATGTATCCACATCTTATCAGTTTGCCTCATTGTCTAACACCCCCCCCCCCCCTCCCTTTTTTTTTTTGCCATTCAAAGATTTGATTCAGGTTAGACATTTCCAGAAATGTAACTGGAAACTAATCATACCTAGTGAATTTTACTCGGAAACACTGAGAACATGTGGGTTTGTCCTGAGAACAAAAACATTTATTTTTAGTATTTCAAAAACAGTAACTTCCAGTTTATATGAAATGTTATAAAACTTGAATGTAATGCAAATCATGTTTACCTTTCAGCTCTTCCTTGATCATGGTGCCAGCTTGAACTTCTTGGATTCTGAAGGCAGGTCACCATTGTTCCTGGCCATCTCTGGTTATTTTAACACGCATGAAAGCATTGCCCAACTGTTGAAGTGGGGTGCAAATGTCAATCTTCACAAGCATGGAAGATGTCCTCTTCTCACCTCATTTTACAGTATGAAACATGAGGTTGGTGCTATTTATTCATTTACCATCCTTATCATCATCATCATCATAGTTTTGACTTGTGCCATTAAGCATTAGTGGGAAGGAACATTCTGTGATCCATTGCTTGATGGTTAGCAATGAATATTGTCATTCCATGTCAGTGAAAGTCTTCTTTCTCCTTGGAATGCCTTGCGCCGTCAGGGCAGGAACAGATCTCTGAAACAGGCCCTTCTGTTTCCCGTTGTATAAAATACTTTTCAGTGTCTCTGTTATTTCTGCGATCCATGTTCTGCACGGTCAACCTCCTGGCTCTGTTGCCGCTATATCTGTATAACATGTAAGTCTTCAGTTTCATAAATCCACCTTCTGTTTATTTGTCATTATGAAAGGATGAAGGAAAACAAGACAGAATATAGAAAAATCCTTATCTGGCAGGTTTTGCCAGGCTGGTATAGTTGTTAATGGTGCCCCAGGTATAACATCTTGGAGTTTGAACAAGGTATCTGGGATTTGCTCTGTTGGCTTGCCATCCAACTGAGATTTTCATAACTCCTTATTACCCACACTGTTGTTGTAATCAGCCAATTTCATGGCAGACTCCATAGAGAGATAGAAGGCAAATTCTGTTTCCTACGTTAGCTCCACTGCTTAGACACCCAAATGTCTCCCTTCCAGCAAAACAACAAATGATTTATAGCATCTTTATCCCTGCTTTAGTGTTATCAGTGCCGAACATGGACGATGAATAATGCATTAGAACAGAAAATAACTACATGTGAAATGTGCTGTTTCCACAAGGTCACTAACAACACTAGAAGAGACAGGGTTACAAATACCAGCATAAGAGAGAAAGTTGGAAAAAGACCATGTCTGGATTATATTGACAGAAAAAGAATGAAATGGTTCAGCCATCTAGTGCGAATACATCCAGACCAAAACTGCATATCAGACTTTACAGCAGAATAGCTGGGAGGAAGGCAAGAGGAAGACTAAGAAAGATGTAGATAAATTGTGTAGATTAAATCTGCACACAAAAAAAAGGAACAAGTTCATCAACCAGGACATCCGAGAAGTGGAAGACAAACACAGAAAATCACAACACTGGGCTGCAACCTGATTTCAGTGAGACGATAAAGAAGAGGAAGAAGAAGAAGAAGAAGTAAACAGTTCTTCGAACTGCTGGTTGGTAGCAAACAAGTTTCATAGTAATGGTCTATTTTGCTGCTGCAGACTGTGAAATACTGATTTTCAAAACAATGTTTTCCTGTAATGAATGTAAATAATGCAGACAGAAACAATACATTGCACAATTTATTGCCAGGAATTTTTTCCTGTATCTTGTCAGGTGCTTTACTACAGAGCTACATCAACATAAAATTAAGCTTAAAAGCTGAATAAATCAACTAAAATGCCAATAGTTTCTTTTAATGCATTGTATTTGTCTAGTCACTGAAAGGTCACAGTAGTCACGTGACTTACCAGGGTGACTTCAAATTTACTATAAATTGCATCTGCTTACATAGGAGGGAGTTGTTACTTTAATTGTTAACACTTCGGTTATTCGTAGCAGTTGCCTGTTTGGTGTGTGGTAAACCGAAAAGCACTGTCTTTGTCAATTATGTGACTGGAAATAAGCAAATGATATACCTATAAAAGAAGTGGGTTCTTTCCGCTTGATTAGTTTCGACACCCCTTGACTGCTATGAATGGCCGAAGGGTTAACAATTAATATCAACAACCTACTCCTTTCCCTGGTAAGTCATCTGACTACAGTCAACTTCTGGTGATTAGACAAACACGATGCATCATTAAAAAAAAATTATGATGTCCCTGTGTGGCTTCCAGGGTCCCATTGTGGGAAAAGGGGGAATAGACACACAAGGATGTCATAAGAGTAGACTAATTAGGTATTTTCCTTCAAAGTCGGAGTGTATCTACCTGGGAGGCAAGGATCAAATGACTGTACCCACACACAAAAAATATCCTGACTTGTAAAGTGGATGTGCACAGAAAACTCAAATTCTGGAGCGATGCTTTAGTCCAGGAAGGGATGAACAACTAGACATTTCCACAAGAGTGTACAGCTGGTGAATGCAAAGAAGAAGAAGATGAAGGAAAAAAAAAGAGGACGACGATTACTGATGTACCACTTTGATCTGATGTACCACTTTGATTTGTTAATGCATAATGTTTCATAATAAATATAATTAATCATTAAATAGTAATAAAATGATTACAATGTTTTCTGTTTTTTCAGACAACAAAGCTGTTGATCAAACATGGGGCCAATATAAACAATGTCATCTTACCAACATTTTGTTTTGTGGAGGCTGTTTTTGCCCTTAACTCAAACTTGGTCATGATGGCATCAGGTGTCAGATTTCATCTGGAAAATTTCTCTGATTTAGTGTCCCTGGCAGTGGACATAATTACAGCTGGTTTGTCCCCCAGGATGTTCTATTTATCAGGGAGGAGATTTCTTCTGGGAGGTTTCACAGCAAAGGAGCTGTCTCAGCTGTGGAGCTTCCAACACCTATGCTTGATTTTAGGTTTTAAAATTGAAAGAACTTCACTCCAAGATGCAATAAATGAGCTGCACAATTCATTAGCCACCGAACAGAACTCCAAACGAAAAGCTGTACTGAAAGACAGACTGGACAAATTATGCTGGACGCAGGTTTTTTTATCGGAACCTTTACCGCTGACATATCTGGCACGGATAGCCATCAGAGGGCATTTAGTGCAGCCACATGTGAATAAAGGACGACATATTAATGAGAATATAGACATGTTACCATTGCCTGCAATGTGTAAAGGCTTTCTTAATTTGCAGCGTTGTACTATACAAGGGATTGCGGATTATATGTATTAGTGAGGTTGCTAAATTCATAGCAAGGCTGTGATACTTTGATACTATGTAGTTAAATGAGTCAAATTCATGCACAAAGGTTCAGTGAAAACAAGTCAGCTTTCATGTCATGATAGACAATATTTTGGGAAGGGGGTGAATCAATATGTAAATCACCCCCCCCCCCCCACACATGTAAATATAAATGTATATATGATTATGTATGTATGTGTGTGTATATCTGTTTCACTCCCAAACAATGCACAGCGTACGACTGGATTCACTTATATGCACCAGTTAACATATTATTATGCATGCACATTTTATGTTTAGTCAGGACATTCTAAAACACTCAACATCTCATTTGCAATTTTACAGGGGATGGGCGTTTGGGCCCTATGGTTATAGTGTACCCATTATTTTGTTGATCTCACCATTTACTCCAAGAGGGGGGGGGGGGGTGCGTGGTCTCAATGCATGATGTCGGCCTCGAGTGTTAGAGGTCCCAAAAAAATACACGTATCAGGTGATTTATGCCATGACCTGTGGCCTCTAACACTGAGCCTTATGAAGTACTTTGACATCATTTAGCCTAAATGCTATTGTTAATTAATATATTCATATCTGACCTTCTTAATGTTTGCACAGGCACAAAAACAGCCAATAGCATTAACCATGCTTCTGGTAAATAGGGCCACTATAGACAAGTTGGAAAAGTGACATTTATAAGAAATTGGGCCCAACTGGAAGTGCTGGATTTTGTTTTGGCTTTTTTTGGGCGGAGTATTAAATACCACAGTGACATGAAAATATCTAAGGCAGAGGAATGGGTAAGGGACCATGAGGCTTTATTTAGACTGTGATGGGATGTTCTACCAGAAACATTAGTTGTGCATCCTTTACCAGACATTTGCAGAACCAATCACAGCATTTTATTTAGCTATTTGGTATCACAAGGCTAGTTTACATTCAGTACCAGTTTCTGGACTTGTCCGTCCTCTATACCATAGTCGAGATCAATGCAAAGTGATCTGCTTCCAAAACTATCTGCAGCTGGAACTGAACTGGGTATTTTGGAATTATAAAGCATGTTCACAATGCCTGAGCCACCTACGCTGACTTATTCCACAAGGACCAGCTGAATGATGATGAGGATTCTATAAATGCTGTCTGAATTCAGATTTTGTTGGCTATTAACTATTTGTCTATGGCAGGGGTGGGAAAATTATGGCCTGCAAGGCTGGTGTAAAAATTACTACACAATCTGGTTCTTGAGCTCACACAATAGCAGAACAAATAAACAGGTTGAACATTTAGGAATATATATAAGGCCTTTAGTGGGTGGGTGTGTCTGGCCAGGGATTATAATCTTAGATTATGCATGAAAAATATTGTGTGTGAGGAAATCTGGCTGTTATGTTTGTAATGGATATTTTCTATAGGAGCCATGGCCAGGTTGGCAACTTTAAATTTGGTCCATGAAAAAAAAAAAATCAAGGTTACCCACCCCTGTTGTAAGGCTTCACACGAATTTCTGCAGTCCCCAGTCTATGACCTGGACCAAGACAGCTTTAGTTTTTACATCCGATCAAAATGGACGTTAGGCAGCGGCACTGTTCGAAACAGAGGCACATTTTTTGCTTCTGCCGGACGGTGGCAGATGCATTTTTGCTCCATTTGTAGACTGGATATAGTTTTGTCGGCCAGCTTCTGAGTTGAATGCATGGCCTGACCCTGTGAGCTGCGGATTGCATTTGGAATATTTTTTCGACTTTGACCAACGTGTTGGTGTGAATTGTAGATTCAGAAAATGGCGCGATGCCTGTCGTGCAGTGTTGTGGTGCCCGTATGTGATTAAAATTGATCGTGTGGGCAACTGCTGATCTGTTGGCGACTTCTGCTACCATCAATGGTGAACTGCAATTCTAATACTGTGATAAACATTCTGTGTGTTTTTCATTGGCACAGGAGCGGAGCAAAGATGGGGTGACCCGTTTGCTATGAAGCTGAAACTAAGACTACCAGACTACTTGTAAAAATAAATGAGTATGCAGCCATTTAGTGTGTAATTTATCACATCTGTTTACCAGTAGCGTCGGCTCTGTGGCTAAGTCGATGCGAATGCTTCGCAATGCCGGGATGCCAGGTTCGATCCCAGCTGCGGGCAATGCGCCTTGCGTTGGTTTCGACAGTGGTATCAAGAAAGCTGACCATCCAGAAAGCAATGGCAAACTACTGGATGTAAATTGCCTAGAGAAACCACACAACAGCCAGGGGCTGTTAGGGTTGGTTCTGCAACGTCCTGTAAAGGATACGCAACTAGCTTTTACCAGTAGCAAGAGGTGCCATTAATTTCCCACTGTTTTTATATATTGTATTTATGAACTAATCTGTAAATAGAAAGAGATTTTATATTGCATTTAAAAAAAAAAATATGGCTGTGTGAAAGTTTTTTTATAGTGTATAATTGTACATTCTGATTATTTATTGCATTGCAAGATTATTTCCATTACACTATGACACCTCCTATTAGTGCCATAATCTCCCGTAAAAGGATCTTATGTTGATACTGATGAATGGTCGAAAAGAATGCTAGGATCCTATGTGGGCGACCTGTGTTCAAAACCTTGGTAAACGGTGTACAAATTCCTGCTATCGGTGGCCAAAAAAATAAAAACCTAAACTGCATAGTTAATGTTGATATAAGAAGCTATGTGGCTCTGTCCACAGGTTCAGGATACACCTGTTACACCAGCCTACAAATCGGTAAATGCTGGCTGCAAAGGCAGGTTTTAGGCAACGGTCAAGTAAAATAGAGAACCCTTTTTTCATGCCTTAGGAGTATTTGGCATATAGGGTGAGACCTATATTTCACAGACCAATTGACACTTAGTGGGTAATGTGGTCCGCATCAAGCCAGATGCTTTTACTTTCCAGGCTTTTACCTGGTATCCATTTAACTCTTTAAGTCCCAGGGGATTTAGCATCACAGGCCCTGGGAGTAGTTAACAAAGTAATAAAATCGGTGCATCATGCGTTCATTGGGCTTCTAGGTAGGAACCTATGAACGTATGATGCGTTCTTTGGGACTCAAAGAGTTAAGGCTGGGTTGTTAAGAGAGTTAAGGGCATTTTTTTAAATGCCCAGCACGGTCCGGAATTGAACTCCTGACCTTCGGATCGGCAGGTGAGCATCTAGACGCTAAACCATGGCAGCTCACCTTTAGCCCAATGATTAAAACATCCATCTATCCAAGTAGAAAATTATAAATGCATTGTATTTACTTCTCATGACATAAGCTAGTACCTATTTTAGACAGTTGACATGCAGCCATAGTAAATTTTAGGGGAAAAAGTGTGGATATGAACTTAAGACCTTCAGGCTAACGTAGCCTTTACGCTCCACTGTTCCAGATTTTTAATTCACTGTTTTACTTTTCTGTAATTTTAGTAAGGTTTAACAGGAATGAGACATTTTCTTTTCCTTGACACAGTATGTTTATATTAGTTCCTTCTATACAAAGTCAGTATCAGAAGGAAGGAAATTATTTGTGAGAACAAAGTAATGATGAAACTGCAAATATGATCAGACTGCAATAACAGCTAGTCAAAAAGGGTAAGGCGAGATGAGAACTTTGGAAAAAGCAAAAGGAGAAAATTGAACCAATACTGATTGTGGGATTTACTAAGAAGGGGATCCAAGAACTTATGGATTGAATGATTTGATGTACAATGTGGATGATTTGCAACTAACTAGATGAATGTAATTAGAGAATAATAAAAAAAATAAAATTCTGTTTATGTCTATCAATGTCGCCGAACTTTAGAATTTTTGCTTGCCTATTATTATACTGTTTTGGGTCTAGGTTTATGTCATGTTGAACAAATTTATATAGTTGAATACTATGTTTGTAAAAAACATAGTGGTTTTGCATTGTCTGTACAGAAAAAAAAAGGTGTTACATTGCATTGCAATAGGTACACAATTCATTGTTATTTTACATTTGTTTAAATGGCATGAGATTTACATTTCTCTCACGATTGTAAATATTTTATGGACTTTCTCACAAGAATGTTTCTGTGTAGGTTATAACTATGTATTATGTGAATACACCAGCTCCCTTCCTCATTACTCTATTTATTTCAACCCACATTGTTGGAGAAACATTCACATTAAATGTGAACTCAACCCAACCCATGGAGATGGCAGACTAGTGAGCTGTTCCCTAGGTCATCCCTAAAAATAATAAAACTGCATGATGAACGGTCAGCTCTTGGTACCAAGAAAACAACGCAAGACAAACCGTCTGCAGCTGGGATCGAATCCGGCATTACAAAGTGCATTAGCAATGCCTAAGCCACAGACGATGACTTGTTATAAAAGATTCACTTACTTGCTTCATTTGTTTAATTGTTACTGTAGTATGCACCTGATGAGATACAGCAAAATGTGCCAGGCAATAAATTAATGCAATCTATTGTTTGTCTTCTTTCTTTAAATTAGATGTGTTGGAAAAAGAGGTGCAAATATTGTAGCATAACTAAACCAGAACACAATGTGCCCACCATCTTTTTGAAAGGCAAATGCCCAAGAAGATATAATTTATTGTTGCATCTCTGTCAGACTAAATTGATGGACGTGTTGGCAGTGAGGAAGAAATAGTGTACTCTTATGTTTCTGTTCGTGAAAAAAAATATGGCTGGCGTTTCTCAGCTGGAGTCAATCTGGTCAAGTCTTTGCTGTACCAAACAGAGCAGTTTGGAGAAATCTGGCTGGCGTTTCTCAGCTGGAGTCAATCTGGTCAAGTCTTTGCTGTACCAAACAGAGCAGTTTGGAGAAAAGCTTTAGAGGGAGCTGTGATCACTGCAGCTATGCATGGCTCAACCAGGTAATAATTCCACAATGAATGTTGGATGTAGCGGATCTTCATCACTTTTTGTTTGGCATTCAGGTTGTATATTATTTTTCTTAATATATAAATAACACCAAGGATATAAAAATAAAGGGCAGAAATTAACATATAATAGCTAAATAACACCAAGGATAAAGAAATAAAGGGCAGAAGTTAACACAGAATAGATCAATAATACCTAGGATATAGAAATAGAGGGCAGGGGTAAACACAGAATATATAAATACCACGAAGGATGGAGAAATGAAGGCCATAAGCGAAGAAAGAATACCCAAATAACAAGAACGAAGAGCCACAGTGAACACAGAATAAATAAACACCAAGAATATAGTCAGAATAGCAACAGGACAGTACTGTCACAACTATGCATGCACTCAGAATAGCAACAGGATGGTACTGTCACAACTATGCATGCACTCAGAATAGCAACAGGACGGTACTGTCACAACTATGCATGCACTCAGAATAGCAACAGGACGGTACTGTCACAACTATGCATGCACTCAGAATAGCAACAGGACAGTACTGTCACAACTATGCATGCACTCAGAATAGCAACAGGATGGTACTGTCACAACTATGCATGCACTCAGAATAGCAACAGGACGGTACTGTCACAACTATGCATGCACTCAGAATAGCAACAGGACAGTACTGTCACAACTATGCATGCACTCAGAATAGCAACAGGACGGTACATCACAACTATGCCTGCATTCAGAATAGCAACAGATATGTCATTGAATACCAACAGATTAAGGTGTGTTATCACTGACGGAAAAGAGTTTATTGCATATCACCTTTAGGATGTTGCCAATATAAGAATTTAATGGCTTCATGGGGAATGACTCTGCATGTTTTCAATTTTATATTGAGTAGTGTTTCACAGAGATACATAACAGAATAGGACAGGCCAAAACTGCATTTTATTAAAATGAACATTGTATGCAATAAAACCATGTTATTGGAGGTTACAATAGAAATTCTCACGTGTTATACAGCTGTGAATAGTGGACAATTCATACACAAGCCAAACAGCTTCTTTAGGCCTCAGAGATGTGGTTAAAAAAAAGAAGAATTCTTAGAGTTCCTTGGGCAGCCAAAAGCAGCTATCAGAATGTTTTGAAACGTGAGGGCTCGAAGACCACACAAACATAAAGAGACAGTTGTTGCATGCTAAATTCCTGGTCTGGTCAGAGGCCTGATAGCCTACGCCATTCGATGCGGCACAGATGATGATGGTAATAGAGACATGGACAAAAGGGGTCTATGTGGTTTGAGGTGAGAGATGAGTGCAAAGATTCAGGATGTGCACGCACCTGTGAAAGAGGTGTTTTTAGAGATTCACGAATAACAGTGACTTGCACGCGTCTAGCGAGAACCTTGCAGTGTTCAGAGAAGGAGCTAAATGGGGACCGGGGGTCTTGAGTTCAGTGCCTTATAGCAAGGCAGAGTGCGCAGACGCATGGTCCGATGTCTGTGAATTCATGTTTAGATGTTTGTGAATTGTTAACAGTAATTATGTGTATCATTCTAGTTCAGTGAAAGTTGATTTTGGGAATTAAAACTTTGATTCGAAATGCTCCCACTGTGTGGATTTTGTAGAGACAAGGCGTGGGAGGCCTAACATGTTATTTATCACAAGGCCGACAGAAGTAGAGCGATGACTTCGCCAGGGCGAGATCGTGTATCGTCTCGTGAGAATTCTCAATGATTCTGATGCACAGGTTCAGTGTGTACTGATGAGACCATGTATCGAGGGACTGGTGGATGATGCACAGGTTCAGTGTGTGCTGATGCGACCGCATATCGAGAGACTAGAAGCCTGGGGCCGAGTCTCTAACCAGTTATCATGTATCGGTAAGGGTGACCTGAAGTAAGGACACGTAACCGAGGAGAAGAATCTGTCGTGGGTGACGATGCGAGGAGGCATAGGATCACTATGGAAACAAGACAGGAAGGAGAATGTTGTGGACGCCCACCGAGTCAAGGTGAGGGGTGCTCTTTCATGTGACACCGCCTTAGTAGCTTAGTGTAGTGTATAGGGGTAGATTTAGATGGACAGTCAGCTGGTATCACCAGTTCATGCTCATCATCATGTGGTGTTGCGTCCAAATAAACAGGCTGAAGCACGAGTAAAGAAATGACTCTGCATGTTTTGTTGATGTGGTCGGCTCGCAGTGTTAGTAAAATGTTATGACTCTGAGAACTGTGTTAACTTGGCACTTCCACCACAGACATTTCACTACAGTGTGGAGGCATAATCATTCACCTAAACAACACAACAACAGTCATTATTTTTGTGGCTATGTGAAGAAAACTGGAACATGCTGTGACCACTGGAAAGATCTGTGGGAAGAGAGACAGAGGAACATAATACAAGATGTTTCTTGACAACCTTCTGTCATGGCCTAACAGTAAGACAATAATAAACAAACAAACAAAAACAGAAAATCAAACGTGAACTTCATTATATTCTTTAATAGTACTTTTCTTGTCAAATCACTAAGACAATGTCATAATAGTAAGACTGAAAATTTGAACTCACATTTGCACATACATACAACTTCTAAGGAACAAAACTTATTAATCTAGAGCCAAAGCAAAACTCGAACGCACCAACTTAGGCCATTATGTTTTCCTTATGCCCTCACTTACTCTTCCATAAATGTTTAGTTAATAATAATATACTGCACCCAAGGGAGGAAAATAGTGTATTTTCACAGACTATCGACTGATGGAAATAATCCACAGAAATAAACAGATGGGGTAACCATTGAAGCCGCAGAAACATTATACGTAGTAAACAAAACAAACACTTGTCATCATTTGGAGGTGACAGGTTCAATTCCCAGCAGCTGATATCTTTCTACTCCGTTCTATGAGTGCTAATCAATACATCATCTGTTAGAAATAATCAAGAATTTCTTTATTCATACACACAAACATATTAACCACTTGCTGCTTTGACTGTAACAACAAATTATAGTCTAAATTTACAAAACTGCTATAAAATATCCAGCTGTTTATTATACGTCTCTTTCCTAGAGTCCAGACTGTGGCATTGGTAATCATGCCCGTCCACACCCTGCGGACACAGAACTGCAAATCATTTCTGACATAGATGTTCTTCCTTGTCATGATTTCAAACTGCTCACAGAAAAAATATACAAATCAATACATTTCTAAATGTATCTACAGAAATACTCTTTGCAAAGGTTAAGTTTTTCTGCAATTATACACCAATTGTTTATTGCATGACAGTATTATGTGATCAGACCACTACTGTGCTAGTGATAAAATATAAAGTAAATTAAAGGACCTTTTTCTGAGCCTTCATGCATACTGGGCATATACGGCTAGACCTATCTTTTGCAGACCAATCTGCACTTGGTGGGTGATGTGGTCAACATAATACGGTCCCCTTTACTTCCCAGTAATTTACCTGGTACCCATTAAGGCTAGGTCGACCTGGGAGACAAGGTATTTTATAATTAAAGTCAAGCCCATGTCAGAACCCCAACCCATGACCTTTGGATTCTCAGGTGAGCATGACTGACGCATAGTCAGGTGATATTAGGGACACAGTCAATTATTTTTCCAGAGCCGTTTTAAAAAGGAAAAGAAAAGACACATAAGATCACAGTTCTTGATTTTAAACGCTTTTAAATTATGAAATCATCAGAATTTTTTTTCTTCAAACTCACTAACAATAAAAAATAACATTTCTCTACAACAAATGTATACCCAAGTTCTTGCAGCTAATGTAATCATACAGACATGTTTCTAGTGGTGCCCATGGCTATCCTTTCCCTTGTTGACAACTTTATCATATGCAATAGTTAGTGCCATTGCCACTATGGCATAACCCAGTCCTCGAAATGTCCCACGCAATCCTTTACGCAGCATGCTCTGGTAGCCCACACCTGCTTCTTGGTAGCGCCACACTTCATTTCTGCGGACAAATGTATCACATATTAAACTTCTAAAGATATATAGATAAATATTTTTAGGGTTATTTTAGTTCAATATATTTGTGTGTGTGTTTGTGTGGTAGACGTATCAAACAAGTTAAATATAGAACAGCTTGAGCAAAGACAACATTTTACGAAATGAAAAATATTCTATGCAATCTTTCTTTGCTAAATGAGAAGAGAAAGAGAATACTTAAAAAGCTATATAAATCACATCATGATATATGGAAGTGAATCATGAATAGTTGATAGATGGTGAAGCTGTGAAGATGTGGTTTTATAGATAATGATGAGAATACCCTGGACAGATGAAAAGAGTAACAAAGGTCTTGAAAGAAACTGACTCACAATGAGAACTGACTGCCCAAATCATAAAGAAACAATCAACATTCTTTGGTCATGTCAGGAGAAGGAGAAAACTGGAGTACATCATGACAATGGTAAAGTTGGAGGGGAACAGAGGCAGAAAGAGACAAAGAAAGAAGATGCTGACGTCATGGCATGGGAGATCATCTGTGTCAGAATTGACAGAAAGTACACAAGAGACAAGGTTGTGGACACCAATGGCACACTGCATGGATTAAGGAAGCAGAAGATTTATGTGTGTGTATAAATACACATATATTATATTCCTAGGGTTCAGCAGATGCACAGGGAATCACATTTTGTGGAAAACACTTTTTTTTTCCAGTGCATACAGATGGGTGTCAGACATGTCCTTCTTCTTCATTACTTCCTCAAAGCACTGGGGTGAGATGTAAGGATCTTCTGTGTCCTTTTTACAATATGCTGTACAAGTTGATCTTTATTCCTCTGATGACGTCATTCCAGGTTTGTAATGGTATTTCCCCTACATCAACACTCTATATACTACAGTTTGTGGACTTTAAAATGATAATATGTGAATATATTTGAGCTAAAGTAGTATAATAATAAGAGAGGATGAGTTAAAGTAACAACTAAGATGTATTGGATTAACTTACAGAAAAATAAACTAGAATGTGTGCAGCATGTATGGTGAGCTGTCAGCTACTGAATGAAAGAGCTATTTTATTTGCATTTAACAGTGAGGAGCACATTATGAGATGTATAGCAAAAAAAAAAAAAAAAGATGGGGGTTGATGGGACAAAAGTTTTATAAATCAAAATGCAAAAATTGTGTGACAGAGATTAACCCTACCAGACCGCTAGCCCGGTTTTCCGGGAATTTCATAACTGTTCTCTATACCGCTGGCCCAAATTTTCGTCTATTTGCATAGTGCGTGAGAAAGATGCCTCACTGACTAAAAATAACCAACCAGTCGCCATCAGTCCGCTTGATTAGACATTGCAAATGGCTTCCCCCCGTGTTTGAATCAATTTTGTGTGTTTTAACGCGAAAAATTCAGAAAATTCAGAATGAAGCGAGCGGCTGATGAACCAAGTTCTAGGCTTTACAGTCCAACAGGTGATTGATACTTTGGTTTATTCAGACTCTGTGATATATATATATATATATATATATATATATATATATATATATATATATATATATATATATATATATATATATATATATATATATATATATATATATATATATATATATATATATACACACACACATATATATATATATTTATATTCATTATCTGTGATAATGTCATAAAGAATACGTTCTTGTAGTGACACTGTCAGTGAGAGCACGAATGATGAGGAAAATCTTGAAAATTATAAATCTTGAAATAGATCGATAATAGGAGGAGGGGGTGTGTCCATCAAACGGCAACATCTGGTGTTTACTTTGTGAAACAAAGTTGATCCTGATGAGTGAATTCGCACACAAAGGTGGAATATTGGCGCTAAATAAAAGGTAAGCCTATTTTCTATAATGTCTCCAAGTTTCATCATATTCTAGCCACTCGTTTGCATGTAACTAATATTTTTGTATATCATGTTTTTTTTTTCGCGGTGATGCCCTGGAGCTCAGGTTATAGGGACAGTTAGGTTCAGGGCCTCAGGTCTGGTAGGGTTAAGAGAAGAATACACAACCAATGCTGCTTACCACAGACTTCAGGGTGTCTGGAGATCAAACATCAACAGCACTACAATTAAACTCAGGCTATACAAAACATGTGTTAGGACAGTTCTCTATGGAAAACAGACAGAAAGATAGAGAGCAAGCATGCTCAAAGGTTTTGAGGGAAAACTCCTCAGAAGATTAATGGGGTTCACATGGGAAGATAGAATCAGCAATTCTAGATTGCAACAAATGACAGACTTAGAAGATGTAACTTTAGAAATCAAAAAATTAAGATGGAGGTGGACTTGACATTTCCTCAGAATGAAGAAAGAGATGCAACCAAGACAGGCAATACAATGGACACCACAAGGACAGCGAGGAAGAGGCAGGCCACAGGCACTTTGAGGTGAACCTTTGAGGCTGAACTCAAGGCTACACAAAGGACAAAACAGGAGACAGAGAGGATGGCTCAGCATTGAACTGAGTGGTAACAGTTTGCCTCTGCCTTATGTGCCTCTGGGCACGATGAGGACTGATTAATTGAACAAACAAAACCTACCTTTCAAAAGGCAAGTGTAATCTTATTCAATCAATCACCTTTAAAGAGTGTCAGAAAGACAGCAATTTTAAGACAACGAGGGGGGGTGGGGGGGGGGCTAGGATCAAGTGCAATAGAACAGACACAGCATAAAAAAGGTAAAGTCGGGAGATGTGAACCAGCGTCATTGCACACGGTTATAAACCATTAGTTTTCTGCCACCAGAACGGACGGCTTATAAGAAACTGTCTGCCTGTGTCGCCGTCTACACGCAACTTTGTAGCTTTAGCAATGTTTCCCCCATTTAAATTTGGTAATCATTACCTAGAGGCTCATGCGTGACAGCATGCATATCTGGGGAGAAGTATTCAGCTAGGAGTGAACTAGATGGCTGGGACTCACGAGCAAAGCTGCAGGAGATGCAAAGCTGCTACTCGTGAGTCTCAGCCATCCAGTTTAGCTCCGCACGTAGCAGCGAGGGAGTTACCGTCGACGGTGACGGTATAGACACCGGAAGTTCGCAATTTAACTTAAATTGTTTATAGCGACTACGGTGTTCGGCAATTTGCGGCCTATTGGCAATTTCCGTTACCATGGAAACCGTTCGAAACTTGTTTGGGAAATGTTGGCTGGTTTCGGGATTGGTCCCAATCTCTCATGAAATTTTGCGACTGGTGTGGTTTTCAACAGTATAAATAGCTGAAAACGGCAGGAACGAACCCGATTAACAGCGCATGTCTACGACAGCTGGACGTCCTCTGTTTTTCTGTTACATCAGTTTTATTAAAAATAGCGATAAGTATTCATGGTTGGCTTTAGGCTTTAACATTACTAGTACTGGTAATGGTGGTTATAATTGAATTCTTCATCCAATTTTACATTTGTATATAAAATTTCTTTCTTATCAGTGGCTTTTTAGATTTACAGTGACATTTTTCAGGCAATCGCTATTATGTGGCTGTGTCTCATTGTCTGCCATCTTGTCCAATGCAAACAAAGCCAAAACGATAAGTGCGCAGTTTGGTTGCGCAGAGAAAACTTCTTGTTTCTCAGACACAAGTTTTCAACAGCTGTTTTTTACATCTCATCTCCACAAAAACCTACATATCTCAGCTCAGAAATGACATACAAGCCTAAATGAGGTACCATTGGAAAGAGATTGTTTACAGCTATCTAACTGTGCTGGTTTTATTGGTGTAGAGGAGGGCATTTTGAAAATTTGACTAAAGTATCTATTATTTAAGTCGCCAGAAGTTCGCAATTTACATGTGACTCTGAGTAGTCTGAGGCCCTGTCTGGGTGTGTGTGTTTTTTTGGCCGCCATAATATGTGGCCGTTATTCGGAGGATAGCCAGATTTTATAATTAACTAAACTAATCAAGTCAAATTACTAAAATAACGGTTATAATATATCTTGACCCACCTGATCCAGGGATCCTTCAGGCCCAACGGCTTAAGTCTCTTCTGCAAAAGCTCGAGATCGGGGATACCTTCCACTTTATAACTTTTCCAGTCGGGAATTGTGTGAGGCATTCCATGTCCATGACCGCCGCCTCCGCCACCCATGGTTAGACTTCAAGTCAGATTAATGAAAACTAAATATTGCTGTTCTATGGTAGCGACCTTCGCTCAAATACTTCGAAAAGGACGGACAACTATTAGATGATCGCAACTCCGTACTGGCGAACCTAGCGACTAGGGATGCCAATGATGGGTTTTCCCCCCAGATCTGGGTTTTTAGTTGACACCTTGGGTTCATATTTTGGAATCTTGGGGTTTTTTTCAACAAAATATATCCTAATATAAAAGTGGGTAAATGTTTCATTTCGAAACTATAAAATTTGCACTTTTTTTTATCAATCTTGGGTTTTTGTTTATTGTTCTCCAGCTTAGCTTGGATTTGAGAAAAATCTAATTGGCAGCCCTGCTAGTGATAGCAATGAAATGTATGATCAGAGAAAGTAGCGGAACGAAGCGATATAAAGCGAAACAGTGTTGCCACTTTGGATCTTTTATATCCAAATTTAAATCTTTTTCATTGCATTTAGATACTGTTTTTGATGTTTAGATCGTAAATATTTTTATAGAAACTTTTCATATGGAGTTAGATATTTTCTAGATTTTTTTCTTTCATTGTCAATTCAATAATTACTGTGTAAAATAAATATCTGGCAGCCCCGGTACTGATTAATACAAACGCGCGTAAATCATACTAACTTTGTTTCAACCGTATCCTCACTGTGCTGACTTTGCGTTTCTTTTTTCACGTGATTAACAAAAAATAATTGCTCACCTTCTTATGTGGCTTTTACTTTGAAAAAACCTTTCACCATGCCAAAAGTAAAGTATGAGCAAAAAATTTGGAAAGAGTGGTTGCATGATGACAAAATTAAAAACTGGGTATATAACCAAAGCTTGTTGTAAGTACTGCAAGTGTGAAATTAAAGTGACAATACAAAACTCAAAGAGTCATGCAGAGACTAAAAAAAAGCATAAAACTGCAGTTTCATTTAAAGATATTACACCGCTGACATCTGTTTTCAGAACAATACTGATAAATGAATCATCAAAAGTTGAAGTATCAGTCGGAATGTTTTTAATTTGTCACTGCGCAATTTCAAACTGACCATTTGATCGATTTGTAAAAAATCTTAGTTTAATTTGAAAAGTGTGATGTAGAAAGTATAGTTTAGGAACTGAAGGACCTTTTAATCAGCAAACAATTAGGCTTGGAGAATTTGGCTGTAATTGGTACTGATAATGCCTCAGTGATGGTTGGTAATGTATTACTATCAACATCACAAAATGGTTTAGAAAACTTATTAACCTCACTCCAAAGAAATAGTGAAAATCATAACTTATTTCTTAACATAGCAAAAACAAAGATAATGCATACAAACAAAACTGCCATGGAGAAGGAAATATATGTTAATGAGGAAAGATTGGAAGTGGTGGAAAATTTCGAATATCTTGGGTCACTGGTTACCAACAATGGTGACACAATGAAAGAAATTAAACGGCGACTATCAATTGCTCTTCAAAGACTAAAACAACTGAATAAATTATGGAATTGTACAGATAGAATTACAAAGGTCAGATTTTTAAGAGCATGCATCTTTCCCATTGCAACATACGCCTGTGAGACCTGGACACTTACTAAACAAGCGGAACAGCGCATAAATGCATTTGAATATAAATGTTACAGACAGGTTCTAAGAATATCTTGGGTAAAGAAAAGAACAAATGCATCCATACTTCAAGAGCTGAATATTGAAGAGGGTTGGCTAGTAAAGACAATAAAACAAAGAAAATTGAAATATTTTGGTAACTTGAAACGTCATGAAAGTCTAGAGAGAACAATAATGGAGGGGTATATGCCTGGGAAGAGAGGAAGAGGAAGGCCAAGGAGAAGATGGGTGCAGGATGTGGCAGATGATCTCCAGATGGGTGTATCAGACGCAGGACATCTTGCTCATGATAGGAAGGTTTTCCGGAGGGTTGTTATGGCAGCGAGGTTCCGCGAGGGACATGCTACTGAATGAATGAATGATGGTTGGTATAAACAATGGCGTTTATGCCAAGTTGAAGGAAGCTAACCCATTGTTAATACTTATAAAATGTATGCGTCATTCATTGCAGCTAGCATTATCACATGCTTCATCTAAATATTTACCAAGGAATTTGGAATACCTTTTTGCTGAAACACTTTACTGGTTTTCCAAATCATTTGTCTCTTAAATGCTATCGTGCCATTACAATTCGGCCTAATGAGACTAGAGAAATAAGCCTACTGTTCCACTTATAAAGAAATTTGAACAGCTAAAGCATACCAGGGTCATTTTGAATCTGAAGCTTCAACTTCATTATCCAAGCTAAGTTTATCCTGTTGATCTTGTGAGGTAGACATCAGTAAAGGTGAGGACATGATTATGTAGGGTAAGTCATAACAAAAGCTATGTAATTTTTGACTTTTTCAATTTGGATATTTTTTCTAGATCTTTTTCACGCAGATTTAGATCTTTTTAGATATTTTTTGACACCGTTTTGGATATTTTTTGTCAAAGAAAAGTGGCAACACTGAAGCGAAAGTGCAAGTTTTGTGTAATTTAAGCAACAAAGTTGTCAACCAAATTGATGTTAAATTGAATTTATCACTGCTACAAGTTAAAGATAGTAAAGAAGTGCTTTAATTGATGAATCATCATTGACAACTGTAATAGTGCAGTATTTCTTTGGTTATAAGGTAAAACTTGAAAAGAACTTTTTTCCAGTCTTCGCGTTCATTAATAATTAATTTAATTTAATTTATTGACTTAATTGACTGAGTGATCAGTGAGGGACAAACGTGAAACGGTTGTGTACGCAACAGTTTCTGGAACATAACTAGAGTCAAGAAGTGGGGGAATATCCAGAAATTTTCACAGGAGTTTTCACTAATTTACAGCTGGTGAATGCGAAGAAGAGGTTCTCCTAGCAGATGTGGACGCAAGCGGGACGGCTTCGGTCGGCTTAGTGGGAGTTCTCTCCCTTGGCCGCACTCAAAACAAGTAGCGGAAAAAGTCACGAATCAAATGACATACTTACCTATCATCATGCGGGTGCTCTAGGGTTGCGTACGGTTGCGTCTAGGATAACCTATCATCATACGGTTGCGTGTAGGGCTGCGTAGGGTGTCTATCATCATCCTACGGTTGCGTGTAGGGCTGCGTATCGCGTGTAGGGTTGCGTAGGGTTAGGGGTAGGGGTAGGGTTAGATGTGAAAATTTTCACGTAGGAGGTCGAAATAGTGGCCGACAATGTGATGCTTGTGGAAGTGGCGCCACTGAAATTCTGCCAAATATGACGCCAATAGCGGGTGGCTGGTGCCCAATGGCTGGCGAATTGTCCCTGTCAGTAGCATCCACCGTCCGTCGACTGTTTTGAGTGTGTATGTGACTGTGCGTGATTATAGGGAACTAGGGCGTCAAAAATTGTCACATCTAACGCTAAACTTAACCCTACCCCTCACCCTACCCTTAACCCTAACCCTACCCCTAACCCTAACCGCAACCCTACCCCTAACCCTAACCCTAATCCTACCCCTAACCCTACCCCTAACCACGAAAATTTATCGGTCATTAAAGCATACAGATCGGCAAAACACACACACACAAAAACCCCAGATATCCCCGCAGCGTCAAAACAAAACCCAGATCTGGGGGACACACCCAAGCATTGGCAGCCCTGATGTCGACCTCACTGTCTTGTTTGATTCGTGACTTTTTCCGCTACATGTTTTGAGTGCGGCCAAGGGAGAGAACTCCCACTAAGGCGACCGAAGCCGTCCCGCTTGCGTCCAAATCTGCTAGGAGCACCGAAGAAGACAATGGTATCGTCAATCAAGAGCCGACTAGTCAGAGAGAAATGGGAAATTTCTAAATGTAAAATAAAAAATTGCCTGGTAAACATAAACATTGAAAAAAATTTTTTTTTAAATTCTGGCGTTGATTCTAACTATTATATATTTTCTTGCATTTATTAAATGTTATCATAACATTTTATGGCTCTCTGAACTTCTACCTGATATTATGGTGGTCAAACACATACCCTAACAGGGCCTTAGTCGTGTGTAAAATGCAGACTTCCTGTGACGGACACATTGCGGCAAACCTAGAATTACTTGACAATGTCGCAACACTGCAGACAATAGTAGCAGACTATAATTGTGACCGTTTACAGTTTCGAGCGTTTCTGCAGACGATACTAGCAGATTATACTAGCGACCATTGACAATTTCGAGACACGCAACATTACAGATGATAATATGGAGATGGCGGGGAGATTACGCGCTCTGGTGCAGATTAGCGATAGTGTTCTTCCGATTAAACTCACCGCAGAGCGTATCTAAACTAGATGCATGGGACTCACGAGCAAATAAATTGGAGGAAGTTGCAGGAGATGCTGTAACTGCTGCTCGTAGCGGCGCAGGGGATACTGTCGGCGGTGCGACATAGTCGCAGAAACTAGTCTGCAGTTAACATATCGCTGAAACCCTGTTAGAGCATTTGTTTTGTTATTCGGAGCCGATTCTAGTTTTGCTGTGATTTATTCCTCTGCAGGAAGTCCACATTCAGCATAGGACTGAGGCCCTGTTAGGGTATGTGTTTGGCCGCTATAATATCGGGTAGAAGTTCGGAGGAGAGCCCATTTTATTAATTCAAAAAAAATAACCTTTAATGTTACCCCATTCAAGCCTGTACATTGGTCATAATTTCTTCTGCATTCAGTCTTAAAGGGGTGGTCGGTCTTTATACGCCTCTAGGCAAGGGCAGTTATTCATTTACTTTTTTTTTTTTTTTACTTACTGATCTCCTTCCATGCTCTCTGGCATTAGTTGTCATATTTATCAATAACCTTTTTTCTCATGTACTTTCAGTGCCCCAGGGTGTTCTCATCACTCGTCCGTATAACTATATACCTGTTGCTTTCACAAAATAGGGTTCAATAATTTTACCTTACCCCTTGACGTCATGATGACATCACTGGAGACATTCAGATAATTTCAAGAGGGGTAAGGTTGGGGGGGATTTTCCCTTCCAGAGTGCATCGCAAAAGTGCATGCTTTTTGGCGCCTTTTATGACGTGTGTTTACAGCGCATCAGCAGTCTTCATCTATGCCGCGTCTGGTTGTAGCAGTTTTCATATTTGTTTGCCGTTTGTTCCAGCCATGAATTTTCTACAATTAGTAACATCTGTACGAGACAAGAAGACCAGCATTGCATTCTGCAATAGCATAGTATTCTTCACAGAACGAGACGTTGCAGAAACAACCATCAGATAGATGGTGTATTATCGCTGTCGGAAAGACACACGACCGTTTGCCGGTGTCAAAAGTCCACCTGTCCTCTGGACAGGCAAATTGTGGACCTCTTTCCATTGAGTATACGGCAACTGCCGAGAGTATTCCCCGCGCCGCTACGCGCGGTGCGGAAGGGGGCTAAACTAGATGGCTGGGACTCACGAGCAGCAGCTAACGCATCTCCTGCAGCTTCCTCCGTTTTATTTTCTGGTGGTGGCAGTATAGTCACCAGAAAGAAGTCCCAATTTACATGTGACTGAGGCCCTCTTAGGGTATATTTTTGGTCTAGATAATTTGGGACCGTTATTCGGAGGATAGCCAAAAAAAACACAATTTAAATTAAATTTTTAAAATTCAACAACAAAAAAGTCACGTAGCGATTGAACAAAGCACCTTTCATTTATAAGGCTACACATTCACATGACAAAATGATATAAAAATATGACCAGTATTGTACACCAAGCAATTGTGCATCAACAAGCAGCCGACTGCGCACCAACATACAAATATATGCCACACCAAAAAACACTAGAAGAGAAATGACAGCAACAGCACACTTGCATCCCTTGAAATAGTGGACTGTCCAGTCAGCTGTGGAATTCCCAAGGATTCCCTCTGTTTGGGGTACGTAAATAATATTGTACCCACAATAGTTCAGGCTGATGACCCCAAGTCTAAACCGCCCTAAAAAGTTATAAAACAGACAGTAGTCTTCTTCTTCTTTGCGTTGACCAGCTGGAAAGTTTTGGTTGTTCGACCACTTCTGGACTGCAGCCCTGTTCCAGAACCTAAGTGTTGCGTGTGCATCCGTTTGACAGATCTGACACATTTGTGTGCAGACTGTTGGTTGGTTGCCTTTTAGGCAGATGCACTCTGACTTTAAAGAAAGCTCCCAATTAGTCGACTCTTAAGACATGCTTTTGAGTAGGCAGTGTGTCTATTCTTGTTTTCCCTGTAATAGGGCCCCGGAACCCACACAGGATAACAGACAGTAGTGACAGACTACTAATTGGCTGACTGTCCATAGTTCACCTCTGTGTATCAGGTTAGGGTCTACAGTGATAAAACAGAGAACTCTTGAGAACTCTGCTTCTCGTCTCAACTGACAAAGAAAGATTGCATTGAATATTTTTCATTCTGTAATATGATGCCTCTGCCTAAGCTATTCTACATTTAACTTTGTTAATGCATCTTCCATCTGATGTTATCAGGGTACCCACAAATTTAAAAGTATCAACTTATCTGAGGGTTATCCCAAATTTACAAGCTGAATCTAAGTATTTCAGAGGAATTACAGCCAACCAACCTGTATAATGGACTCTCACCTGTTGGCGTAAATGTCTTTGGCTAATATCCACACAAAGCCAGATTTAAAAAAAATTGATCTTGGCTCTCAGGTTGACTCTACCTAAAATGAGTACTAAGGGAAGTAAAAGTGGCCTTTGTGATGAAGAGCACATCATTCACCATGTACTGATTCATCTGCACAAATATGAGTCCAGTATCATTTGCTTAATGTGCCACTGGGGTAAAAAAAAAGGTCATTTGCTTGCGTTTTACTTGACCTGTAAAATGATTGCACCATTACTGATTTTCTTTGAACAAAGCTATAATACTCATTGTAGTAACAAAAAGTCATGGAGGAGTTGACACTCCTGTTTCGGCATCTGCCTGCAGAGCTAAGTGTGGATGAAAGAAAAGACTTACTTCACTATCTTGGAGCTTCACGGGTGAAAGTCATGGGCAAATCTGGTGCTATGGTAAGTGTGTTTCTATGCGTCTGCTTTTACAGAAACACCCCCCCCCTCCCCCCCCCCCCCTCCCCCCTTTTTTTTGCAGAATGAAAAAATAATAAAAGAGCTCGAAATGTTAGACTGCAACCAAAAAGAAAAGAAATAACAAAGTTACACATTAACATAAACTTAATGTTAGACTTAACATCTCATGTTAAACAAAAATACAACTAATTAGAGTGCTAGCTATCAATATCTTTACTGACGGCTGTGAAAAGTGGATATTAGTATTCAAGCTTGAAAGTAAAATATTATCGACTACTTGGTGGGTAAAATTTTTAGAACACATAGCAGTTGAACTGTTTGGAACACATAGCAGGTAGAATGTTGAGGACACACAGCAGGTAGAATGTTTAGGGCGCATAACAAATAACACATTTAGAGCACATAGGAAGTAACACACTTTGGACACATGGTAATAAAATGTCTGAGATTTGTCATAACTTTCAGTGCCAGACTGTAATTACTTTTATTTAACTCCTTTTATTTCAAGAATTTATAGTTTGAGTCCAAAGATGTTAAAATAATAATTTTTTGGGGCAGACGGAGTAGAGCAAAGAATTCTGATGTGATGAGTTAATGTAACAATCTGTGAAAGAGTAAGTGTAAAATATGTCTGCTGTCTGTATGTAAATGTAACAATTTGTGATAAAGTGTAAAATATATCTGCTGCCTGTATGTAAATGTAACAATTTGTGATAAAGTGTAAAATATGTCTACTGTCTGTATTTGAATGTAACAATTTGTGATAGAGTAAGTGTAAAATATGTCTACTGTCTGTATGTAAATGTAACAATTTGTGATAAAGTGTAAAATATGTCTGCTGTTTGTATGTAAATGTAACAATTTGTGATAAAGTGTAAAATATGTCTGCTGTCTGTATGTAAATGTAACAATTTGTGATAAAGTGTAAAATATGTCTGCTGTCTGTATTTGAATGTAACAATTTGTGATAGAGTAAGTGTAAAATATGTCTGCTGTCTGTATGTGAATGTAACAGTCTGTGATAGAGTAAGTGTAAAATATGTGTGCTGTTTGTATGTGACCCACTGAAATTAAAATGGACGCTAGACAGCGGCGCTGTTCGAAACAGAGGCAAAGTTTTTGCTTTTGCCGGATGGTGGCCGAAGTATTTTTGCTCCATTTGTAGACTGGATATAGTTTCGTCGCCCAGCTTCTGAGTTGAATGCATGGCGTGACCTTGTGAGCTGCGGATTGCATTTGGAATGTTTTTTCGACTGTGACCAACGTGGTGGTGTGATGTGAATTGTAGATTCAGAAAATGGCGTGATGCCTGTCGTGCAATGTTGGTGGTGCCCGTATCTGGTTAAAATTGATTGCGTGGACAACTGCTGAACTGTTGGCGACAAGTTCTGCTATCATCAATGATGAACTGCATTTCTAATGTTGGACTGTTTGTGTTAGCACTTCGGATGGCTACCATATGCTTTAATGTGAGTGTATGCTAGATATGCTGAGACAGCAGTCTGTCAATCTTTCCACAAGGGACTGTTTTTCGTTGGCACTGGAGCGGAGCAACTATGGGGTGACCCGTTTGCTATGAAGCTGAAACTAAGACTACCAGACTACCAGACCAGAATGTGTGATGTATTGCATGGTATTACAAGAATTAACACGTCTGATGCCTTAATCTTCTTCCTTTTCTTTCGTGTTCACCGAGCTGTAATTTGGGCAGAAAGTTCTGGATGTTCGTCCACCTGTGGACTTTAGTCTTATTCCTGAACTTGAGTGTTGCGTGAACATCTATTTTACAAATCTGATTTATTTGTGTGCAGATTGTTGGTTCCTTGCCTCTCTGGCAGATGCGCTCTGACTTTGAAGGAAGCCCCCAGTAAGTCTACTCTTACGACACACTGGTTTGGGAGGAAGCTCCCAGTAAGTCTACTCTTACGACACACTTGCTTTGGAGGCAGGGGGGTCTATGCTTTTTTTGCCCCACAATAGGGCCTCAGAGCCCACACTCAGATGATACCTAAATAAAGCAGGACATTTTAATTTGTTTGTGTGAGACAGAGACAGAGAGAGGGGAGTTATATTGTGAGACAGCTAGACCTGGAGAAGCTAAGGAGAGATAGATAGGACAAATCGTATATGTTGCAGGCAGAGATCAGTCGTGGAAGAAAACATTAAGGTAAAATGTTATGAAACATCTTCGGTCATAGGTATGACAACTGATCATTGAATATATTAGGGGCCTTGTCACATAATATTCATAAAGACAACGGTGGACCTGCAGCCAGCCTAAATATCCGTAGAGGTTAGGCACACTCTTAACTGTGTGAAACATCAGTGGTAAAACTAATCACAGACACAGGCCAGATTTTTCTGCAGTATCATGATCACCATTGCCACTTAGCATTGCATATGATTTGTCATTTGTCAGTTATGTAGAGCATTGGGAAAGAAGAGAACAAGTTCCATTGGACCAGTAGGTAAAGAAAAGACGCTGGCGTTGGATAGGAAACATGTTGAGAAAACCTGAGAACAGTGTAACTAGAATGGCGTTGCATTGGAACCCACAGGAGCATAGAAATTAAAAAAAAAAAAAACACATGAAGAAGGGAGTTAATGAGTCAACTTAAAAAGGTTTGGAGGACATGGGGAGAGCTGCATGTGATAGCGAAGAAAAGAACAACTTGGTGTGAGTTGGTTGAGGGCCTGGGTTCCACTGGGGGTTAGAAAAGCAGAAGAAGAAAGATTGCATATGATGCTTGTTATATCTGTAGTATTTTAATTTTGGTTAAACAAATTTACTTGGAATATAAATATTATATACTAATTATTTATTTCAGTTTTGCAGATTCATGTGATTTAATTGGGAAAGGTTAATTTCCGGAAATGTAAACGACATTTTTTAAAAAGTCTTCTATTTTAAATTTTACTGCGGTTTTACTTTGTTTTGATGTTTTTCCCCTAGAAAAATACAGCCTTTGCAGTTTTTGGAAACAAAGAACAAGCTACACAGGTATTTCAAATTTCACTTTTTTGATTGAAGCTAAGTTTATTTAAATATTAATAGAAGCACGATAATTCTGGGGTAATTGTAAGTGTATCAGTGTTTGACATTGCCCTGTGTTAGGAAAGGATGGATGACAAGGAATATCATCCACTTAGAATAAACTGATTATGACATACTGGCATAGGTGTAACATACAAGTATGAGGATGGCAAACTGGTGTGCATACCACATATTGGTGTGGGTATGACATAGTGGTGTTCGCATTTACTTGTGGGTGTGATAAGCCAATAGGAAAATGACAAACTAGGGCTAGTATAACAAACTGGCATGGATTAATGGCAGTGACCAGGGCTTTTTTTGTTTTGTTTTTTTTTGCTAGAAAAATAGGTACTGGTACTCACCACATAATGCCTAAAAAAGGTGCCAGTACTTACCACAAAATATATGTTACAATAGTACTGAAAAAAAAAAAATGCCTAAAACTGCCGGTATTGTGTACCACTAGAATAAAAAAAAGTCATGGCAGTGATGATAATTCAGAATAGCTTCCTCTAACATTACACTTCATAGCAAGTGCAGGCTACACTGATAATTGAAACAACTGTCATCCATTTGTTGTAAGAAATCACACAGTAAATACATTTCAGTAAAGAACAAATCAGTTTCTATAAGGCATTGAAGTGATTCAGTTTATTTGCGTGTACTTTCTCAGGTGTTGAAGCAGCTTCACCAGGTTGAATTTCTTGGATCCAGGCTGGTGGTAGAGTTTGCCAAGACACAGTTACCCTCTGGTGATAGTTTGACAACTCAGAAGGGGTAGGTTGTAACTTATTGATTGCACAGTCTAACATCTGTTGACTCTGTCAGTCTTGATGATTTATTGCCTAAAATAATAATGGCCTGGTTCCTCTTATGAGTTCACCTTCCAAAAAGAGGCTGGTACATTGCGTTGTGATTTATTGATAGATTTGATACCTGTGCCTCTGGGCACCTTTGACCCCAGTCTCTTCCAGAAAGCCTTACTTTTTCAGAGCCAGGCTTTTTGAATCAAGTCTAGTCCTACCATTACTCAGGAGTGAACCCCTGACAATATTATACAAATTTAAATACTTACATACAGGGCTTTCTTCTTGGGGTACACTGTACCGGTACCTATTTTTCATAGGCATCATTTCTTTTCAGCGCTACTGTGATAGACACTTTGTGGTAAGTAACAACACATGTTTTAGTCATTTTGTGGTGTGTACCAGCGCTTGTTTTCCCAGGGAAAAAAGCCCTGCATGTGTACTTATACACACACATACCATCACTTATTTGTGTGTGTGTGTGTGCGTGCGTGCGCACCTGCAAGTTTATATTAATAATGCTATAAAAGAGATACATTTTTTTCTTGCAAGTTACAAGTGGAGTGATATTTAAAAATATTGAATAATTAGTTTATGCCAAGGTGGTTTTCAGGTAAGTCATTTGAATATTGCTGTGTATTGAAACCCCTTCTAGAAATCTCAGTTATTTTTTATTGTTGTTGTTTTGTTTTAACTTGTGGTATTGTGTACTAAAATATTAATACCCAACGACTCAAAGAGCCACTATTTGGGGTGAGAATCCAACATGAGTCAATTGCAGAAACCCTGTTCATCCCTATAACAGTTATATTAGTGCACTCAAAAGTTACAGAGTAGCCTGTAGACCGATGTTGGTGGGTTTTTGACCATCTTGATATTATTAAAAGGGTAGTATTTTTAGGATAGTACGACTTGGTGTGAGTTGGTTGGAGGCATGTAGAACAGAAGAAGAAGAAGTACTTTGTATCTGTTTACAGTATGTAATTGATTAATCACTGAAATGTACATAATCATTAGACTATCAAAAGAGAACGGAACGGACGATGAGGACAGCACAAAGGCAAAAAGGGAGAAGGAAATTCAACAGCAACTGGAGCCAAGGGAGATCAAATTTGATAAAACTTTTGCTACATGGGGGTAAGTTTTATTTCACTTGCAGATGTGGAATTTTATTACAGAACCAATTCTTCAGTGGTTTGTTGTTGTTAAATATTTTCTTTTTCTTGTTCACATTCACCAGCTGTAAATTCTGGTGGGAAGGTCTGGTTTTTGTTCTGTTTCTTGACTTTTGTTTCAGAACTTGAATTTTGCCTGCACATTTATTTGACAGATTTGGCTTATTTACATGCAGTCTGTTGGTTCATTGCCTTTCAGGGAGATGCACTCCGACTTTGAAGGTAACACCCCTAGTTAGTCGACTTTTATTACATGCTTTTTTGTGCACCTGTGGGTTCCATTGTAAAGATATTCTAGTTGTATTGTTCTCGGGTTTCCTCCAAGGGTGTAATTTTTTTGTAAATGTTATTAGCCAGTATTTGTTTTTATTTTCCATAGACTTGCCAGTCAATATATTCAAATATCTGGGAACAATCATCATCAGATGGAAAATGTGTGACAGAGATTAAAAGCAGAATAGGTCAAGCGAAAGCTTTTAAGAAAATGAAAAATCTCTTATGCAATAAATCGCTCTCACATTAAATGAATGTCAAAAAGAGGGTGGTAAAATGTTGCATAGAACCTGTTCTGCTGTATGACAGCGAATCTTGGAATGTCAGTGAACAAATTAAGAAGAATTTGGAATCAACAGAGATGTGGTTTCTGAGACTAATGTTACGAATACCTTCGACAGCCAGAGTAACTAACAACTATTGCTTGAAAGAAGCTAATGAAAGTAGATCTCTATACAACAATAAGAAAGAGACAAACACTTTGGTCTTTGGCCACATAATGAGAAGAGAGACATTAGAGAACATCGTGACAACTGGAAAGATCAGTGGAAAAAAGGGGTAGAGGCAGATGAAGAGAGATGATGCTGGATAGGCTGAAATGATGGCATGGAGGGATATCATCAAGAGAGCTGTTCCAGGCAACCGGGTATCATGATCTGTGGAGACACTTGAGCGCCAATTGGCAGGGCACATGATATTGATGATGATGATAAACTTGCCTGCAGCATACAAATAACACAGGGCAAAGTAATATCTGTTGATTTATGGTCTTACATTTTTGTCCCATTTAGTATAATTTATCTTGTATATGTGATTTTAAGATTGCATGTTCATTGTTTATTTTTCCATCTCTTTTAAGTTTAAAATATCCTCGCCGCCCAGAACTTCGGTATTCTTATCCACCACCGACGCAATCAATTCTTACCAACATTCTGAATGCGCTGGCTGCAGTACCAAAGTTCTATGTTCAGGTTAGTTTTTTAAAAAAACATTCTAAAAAATATATTAATTTGCTAACTATTTGTTTCAGTATTCAGTATACATTCAGTTTTTATTAAAAATGGAAAACGGTACAGTATTAGTATTGATATACCCATAAATTTCATTTGTCTTTTCCTTATGATTTAGATGGGTGAATTTAACACCTACTGTTGTCAGTAATTGGAGTCACTTCTCTTTCCAGTCTACATCTTACAAATGTATATCTTCTTCTTTTTCAGCATCATAAGCCCTTGAAGTTGATTGCTGCAGACATCACCCACCTCATTTCATCTCAGATTTACCTTTTCTTTCCAGTTTGTGACTTTAACTGTTTGTAGGTCTGCCTATATTTTATCTTTCCATCGTCTTCTTGGTCTGCCCTGTGGTATTTTCCAGTTTAACTCTTTTGTGTAGGCAGTGTTTGTCTCTCTGCCATTCTCTCTGTATGCTCCAGCCACTGCAGTCAGTTAACCCTAATTATGCCAGAAATTTGCGGTGGTTTTAACAGAGCATGAATTTCATTGTTGCTTCTCACTCTCCATAAACTGCTGTTTACAGATTTCATGGGTCCAAAAACATGTCATAAAACTGTTTCTCAAAATTAATAATGTTTCTTTGTTTTAGTTAAAAGATTTTAAAAAATTTTTTTTGTAATGTGGTATTATTTTATTAGCATACATTTGCAACCAGAGGAAAGTATATTTTAAATAATTAATAGATCTTAATTTGATAGAAAGTGGTTTGGGAAAATGGCATCAGTCTCTACCTTAAAAATGCTGGTTTTCTATCCATCTGCTTATAATATTTGATCTTCTGTGATATTTACGATAAAGTTAGAATTTCTGTCATGGCAGACCCCAAGTAGAAATACAACCCTGGCACCCATAACACAGTTATCATAAGAATTCCAGTGACATGTTTTCTTCTTTTTCTCCTTCTCTTCTTCTCCTCTTCTTCTCCTTCTTCATCTGTAAATGGTATCACAGGCCACTTACATTTATTCCAGGGACCTCTTGGTGTGAAACACTGGTATAGTGTTATATTACACTTAAACAGTGTACAAACATGATGGCCAACAAAACATGATGTTTACTTCTTCTACTCCTTCTCCTCCTTTGTGTCCTTCTTCTTGCTGCTTGCTGCTGCTACTACTACTGCTACTTTCACCCATAAAACAACGTTGGCACATTATGTTGTGGTTCACGTCTAATCAATGATATCTGCCATTTAGCCAAACCCATCTGATTTCAGCAGATCAGTCATATTTTACGACATGCTTGATAAAAATAGGGGATCATTTCCCCCTCCACGCCCCAGATGGGGACCTGGAACCCACAAGGAGAAAAATGACATGTCACACATCTTATTAACATTGTAATGTTTACTTTAGGTGTTGCACCTGATGAACAAGATGGATCTTCCAGCACCATTTGGTGCAGTAACACCATCACCACCAATAGTAAGTGCTGTTTACTTCTTGACATATTTGTTGGACATACATAATTTTAATGTTGCCGTAAAAGAAAGACACACATCTGTAAATTTTTTTTTGTTTATTTATTGTTTCTGCACATTCATTCCACTTTTTCATATTCTTTGTGCCTTGTTTGTGGGAACCCTCCATCTGGCCTCAAAAAACAACATCTCAAGTTCAATAATCCCAGTTTGTAACGCCTGTAGGTTATCTGAGAATGCATTACCTTTAACACCATATCTCACAGTATATTTTATTGACATTTAAAGGAACTTGCTTTGCTTCTTAATTATTTGTTGCAAGTGAAAAAAACATTGCTTCAAAGGCTCCTGGTAGTTATCATCATTTGGATTGTTTTACCTGTGGGAGGCAAGTTTGTTAGGAAATGAAGAGGCAGACAGACTAACTGGTAACTAGTACTACACCACTGGGTAGTGTATTGCTGCATGACAAGCTAGATGTAGCCAGTATTCTTTGGGAGCAAGTGAACAGTGTGGAAATGTGAATAGATAATTTGGTGCAGTGGGGAGTGACAAGGGAATCTGGCAAGACTCTACACTCAGAAGAAAGGCTAGATGCACACAAAAAAGTCCAACTGCTGCTGGTACCAATGGCATTGAAACTCTTTGCTGCTGCTGAAGCCACCTGGCTGCAGAAGGAGTCCTAATGGAGCAGTGATGCAGAATATAAGAATCCTAATGTCTCTTAGCCTCTCCTGCTCAAGGTTACCTTACCTTTATGGGGTGGACCATATTCTCCTCAGTAGTCAAGTGGAGGTTGGGGTTTCAATCCCCACTGGTAAACTGGAGGGGACAAAGTGAAGGTAAAATGCAGTTTCCTCTGCCAGCTACTGAGTTGAGTGTCTGGTGCAACACTGTGAGCTGTGAATTTCATGGGGAAAATTTGTATTGGTTGTGCTCCCAGAGATGTGTTGTAAACTGCATATTCAGAAAATGCCAAATGGCTGGTTGTCACAGAACTGGTGGTATGTCTCATACAATAATGCGTGTGAACCTGCTGGTGGACTAATGTTACTAGTGCTACCATCAAGTAGGAATAGCATTTCTAGTGTCAGAGTGTTGGTATTGGCAGCTTTGATGGCTGCCTTGTGCATTTGGTGCATGTGTTGTTGTATTTTGCCGGGACCGTCTTTTCACATGGGGCTGCCGTAGGCATTTTGTGTGGTTTTCACTGGCACGTGAATTAAGCAGTCATAGGGGTGAGCCATCTGAAATGTAGTTGGAACTCAGACTTATAATTTAGCCTAATAGCTGGCTGCTGAAAATGAGAATGGAGTGTTGATGGGAATATCCAGAGTTCTGTGAGGTTGGTTCTTAACACAAATATTTGTTGCATCGTCTCACTTACATACAGCTCATGCCATGTGGTGCCAGTGAGGGAAACTGAATCCGAAGAGACAATCTTTCATTTTTAGTCATGTGATGAAAAGGAGAAAACTGGAGTACATCATGACAGTAGGAAAGTTGAAGGGAAGGAGAGGCAGATGGAAACAGAAAGAACAGATGCTGGACATTTTGACATCATGGCATGGTGGATCATTGGTTTCAGAGTTGATTGAAAGTACATGAGACGGAATTTTAACCTGACTGCCACACGGCATGGCCTTTAAGAAGAATGTGCCAGTCACCATATGTTTATCTCTTGTACAGCCAGTCCTTTTCTGATACACAAGTTCCTTCATGACATTGTGCCAAACTGCTCATCTTCTCTTGGTCTTCTCCTGCCTCTCTTCCCCTGCACCTTTCTTATTATTCGGACTTAGTCCAGTTTTGTCCCTTCACATGATATCTCTAAAGTGGATTGTCTCTTTTCATGCAGGTAATCAACGCTCTTTGTGCAATTTCTTGCAAGGCATCACCGTTACCTTCTTGGTGAGGCTGGTGTGTTCTTACAATTTTTCTATGAAACAGCATCTCTGTAGTTTCCAGATTAAAGTTAGCTGCATATCTTTTACAGGACATTGAAGATCAACCCGGGCATTTGCTCAGTCTAAATCAATGCAAAGTGGTCTGTTATCATTTCAACCCCAGATGAGTTGAACCAAATATTTCAGAATTACAAACTATGTGTGTAACCCTTTAGCTGCAGTCAGTTTTCCACATAATTTTTTTTAAACTAATCTGCTCATTGTCCATGATTTACTTCTGCACATCATGATTCACCTTAGTATAGTTCTTGAGGACTCTCTTTCTTACATCTGTTCACAAAAATATATTGCATAGTTTCATTATATCTAAAATTATTGAAGTTTAAACTATACACAAGTGTCTACTCCTTTTCCTAAATACTGTTTTTTTTCCAGCATCCCGATATCAGGGAGCCATCACAGCCTGACAATGTGGATGCACTGGAGATGGATATTTCAAGTGAAACAGAATCTGAGTTGGAAAGTGGGGAAGAAAATGAGAAAGAACCAAGGTAGTGAAACTAATATGTCACAGATTAACACTAGAAGGAGAATATTTGTTTGAACTAATGATTAAGGTCATTAATTTTCATGGTTATTTTATGCCCCTTTGACCTGCTTTAAAAGCTGTATGCAAGAAGTGATATGACCGTAGCCCTATTGATAGTGGTGTGATACTGAAGAATTCACATATTTCCTTCTTCTTCTTCTGTTTGTTCTCCCTACCAGTATGTCATATACATCTGTTCCACAGACCTCTGGGTAGGAAACACTGGTAGGGTTTATATTACACTTGAACACTGTACAAACACGACAGCCAACACCACATGTGTTGGGTGCATAGGGGTTAGGATTGCACTGATACTTGCGTGGGGACAGTATTCGTCCCAACGAAATTCAACACAAGTCAGCTTGAACACTAAGGTTAGTGTGATTTGAACAATCACACGTCCTAATCAAAGTAAAGGTGACAACAATCTGGAACTACAACGGGACAGTGGCGACAGTAACAGTCAAGTTCCAAAATACGTAACTCTTCCAACTGAAAAACACCAAGGAGTAAACATTATCATCATCAGGTGCCTTGCCGACTGGCATGGGCGATCATGCCTCTCCACAATCTGCGATCTCCTGCAGCATGTATCAGTTCGTGTGCTGACACACCTTCATGCCATGCAACAAGACTGTCAAAAATCTTCTCTCGTTGTCTTCCTCTATCCCTCCTTCCACAGATCTTTCCAGTGGTCACAACAGGTTCCATTTTCCCTGTTCTCATAACATGGCGGCAAAATGATGACTGTCTCCTTCTGATGTCTGTGATAAGTTGTTTTTAGGCTCCTGCCTCTTTCAAAACCTCTTGGTTGCTCTTTTTGGCTGTCCAAGGTATTTTAAGTATTCTTCTGTAAAACCACATCTCTGAGGCCTCAAGAAATTGTTTGACCTGCCTACCGATTGTCCAGGATTCACAGCCATATGTTAAAACTTCTTTTTCTTCTGCGTTCATCCGAAGATGTAATGCGTGGTGTCAGTTTACAGCATGGCTGCGAGATTTGCACCTTTCGGCCAACACATCCGACTTCTGCGGGCATTTGTTGACAGGGTTATATGTTAAAACTGGATGTATGTACCCAGCAAGAATTCTTTTTCTAACTCTCAATGACAAAGATATATTGCATAAGATGTTCTTAATTTTATAAAATGCAGTTTTTGTCTGTCCTATTCTGTTTCTTATCTCAGTAATGCACCTTCCATCTGATGTTATCCATGTGCCCAGATACTTAAATTTCTGTCCCAAAATAACACCATCGACTTTTATTACACATTTAGAAATAATTTGTTTCTTTGATACCACCATTACTTCTGTCTTCCCATTATTCAAACTGAGGCCCATTCTTCCACTTTCTGTCACCACTAGGAGTCAACATACCCAAGGTATATTACAAGTTCAGTGATGATAATCCGAGCAAAAATTAATAAGTGCAAAAGAAACTTACTAACATGCAACATAATGGTAATCACTTCTGCTGTCCTCACACTTGCTCTCATTTAAGATTAGACTACATATCTAATCACAGCTATTTTGAAATGAAGACACTTCTATAGGTCATAGCATTGACCTTGGAGAAAACAGTAACGGTTTGACAAATTCCAGTATGCAGCCGAAATACTGATGAGTCAGAATAGGTCGACACCTCCAGAGCTCAGCAGAAACGCTCATTTCAGTTCTATTGCAGTCTCTTCAGAAGCACGGGTCGGGTATCTGATGCTTCACATCTAAGTATCTAAGCTGATCTTTGCGGTGGGATCCCGGGATAAATCTTCCATTAGGAATGAAGACACTCGGACATACACATCCATCTTCTTTTTCTTTTTGGCTGTAACTCCTTGGAGCTCAGTCTCCAAACAACAATATGTAAGAACTTCTGATGTCCTATTTGCGCTATTCAATATTGGTGTGTTTTAGTATGTGACAACACGGCATGGACTAGAAGAAGAAAATTTTATTATTGTCCTTTTTGGGCAAGTGATTTAACCTTCTAACCTATAAAGAGTTAATGAGGAGGACGAACTCCTAAATTACATTTGATTTTTTGGAAATATGTATTCTTATTCTTTTTTTGTGTTTTGTTTTAATTAGGCAGAAGAAAGAGCGCCTATCTAAGAGGCCACAAAAGAAACATCTGAAGACACGGGCTGTTAAGAAGCCTAGACTGTCTGATCTCCAGGATAGTGGAGTTCCTGTCTCATCATTCACTGAAACTCTTCCGGTCAGCCAAGTCTTTGAGCAGGTCATTGAGGCACCTGCAGGCAGCAAAAAAATTGAACTGAAGTTGCCCTCTTCACTTGTGTCAGCTGCAGTTCCTAAACATGTTCAAGGACAAATGCAGCAGTTTAACCCATATTCAACATATCCACAATTTACTCAGAGTCACACCATGCCAGGCTTTGTATATCCGCATACGGGAGCATCTATGGCTAGTAAGCAACATCAACAGCTGCTACCAGTGGCTCAAACACAAGTATCTACAACAACATTGCCAGTTCCTTTGCAAAGACAGCATCCAGTACCTCCCCCGCCTCCTGCTTTTCAAGAACAACAACATGTACTGGCACCACCAGTGACAGCAGATGTGGAGACTGCAGGGGATAGTGAAGGTAATAGCAGTAACATTTCTATAACATTTTATTTAGTCGTTTAGTTAAGTTCCATACTATGGAGAACAATGAAGGTAATAGCAGTAACATTTCTATGACATTTTATTTAGTCATTTAGTCAAGTTCCATGCTATGGAGAAAATGAAGGTAATAGCAGTAACATTTCTATAACATTTTATTTAGTCTTTTAGTCAAGTTCCATACTATGGAGAACAATGAAGGTAATAGCAGTAACATTTCTATAACATTTTATTTAGTCATTTAGTCAAGTTCCATACTATGGAGAATAATGAAGGTAATAGTAACATTTCTATGACATTTTATTTAGTCATTTAGTCAAGTCCCATGCTATGGAGAACAGTGGAGGTAATAGCAGTGACATTTCTATGACATTTTGTTTAGTCATTTAGTCAAGTTCCATACTATGGAGAATAATGAAGGTAATAGCAGTAACATTTCTATGACATTTTATTTAGTCATTTAGTCAAGTCCCATGCTATGGAGAACAGTGGAGGTAATAGCAGTGACATCTCTATGACATTTTGTTTAGTCATTTAGTCAAGTTCCATACTATGAAGAACAATGAAGAAAATAGCAGTAACATTTCTATAACATTTTATTTAGTCATTTAGTCAAGTTCCATGTTATGGAGAACAGTGGAAGTAATAGCAGTGACATTTCTATGACATTTTGTTTAGTCATTTAGTCAAGTCCCATGCTATGGAGAACAGTGGAGGTAATAGCAGTGACATTTCTATGACATTTTGTTTAGTCATTTAGTCAAGTTCCATACTATGGAGAATAATGAAGATAATAGCAGTAACATTTCTATGACATTTTATTTAGTCATTTAGTCAAGTCCCATGCTATGGAGAACAGTGGAGGTAATAGCAGTGACATTTCTATGACATTTTGTTTAGTCATTTAGTCAAGTTCCATACTATGGAGAACAATGAAGGTAATAGTAACATTTCTATGACATTTTATTTAGTCATTTAGTCAAGTTCCATACTATGGAGAACAGTGGAGGTAATAGCAGTGACATTTCTATGACATTTTATTTAGTCAAGTTCCATACTATGGAGAATAATGAAGATAATAGCAGTAACATTTCTATGACATTTTATTTAGTCATTTAGTCAAGTCCCATGCTATGGAGAACAGTGGAGGTAATAGCAGTGACATTTCTATGACATTTTGTTTAGTCATTTAGTCAAGTTCCATACTATGGAGAACAATGAAGGTAATAGTAGTAACATTTCTATGACATTTTATTTAGTCATTTAGTCAAGTTCCATACTATGGAAACAGTGAAAGTAATAGCAGTAACATTTCTATGACATTTTGTTTAGTCATTTAGTTAAGTTCCATACTATGGAGAACAATGAAGGTAATAGTAACATTTCTATGACATTTTATTTAGTCATTTAGTCAAGTTCCATACTAAGGAGAACAATGAAGATAATAGCAGTAACATTTCTATGACATTTTATTTAGTCATTTAGTCAAGTTCCATACTAAGGAGAACAATGAAGATAATAGCAGTAACATTTCTATGACATTTTATTTAGTCTTTTAGTCAAGTTCCATACTATGGAGAACAGTGAAAGTAATAGCAGTAACATTTCTATGACATTTTATTTAGTCAAGTTCCATACTATGGAGAACAGTGAAAGTAATAGCAGTAACATTTCTATGACATTTTATTTAGTCAAGTTCCATACTATGGAGAACAGTGAAGATAATAGCAGTAACATTTCTATGACATTTTATTTAGTCAAGTTCCATACTATGGAGAACAGTGAAAGTAATAGCAGTAACATTTCTATGACATTTTATTTAGTCAAGTTCCATACTATGGAGAACAGTGAAAGTAATAGCAGTAACATTTCTATGACATTTTATTTAGTCAAGTTCCATACTATGGAGAACAGTGAAAGTAATAGCAGTAACATTTCTATGACATTTTATTTAGTCAAGTTCCATACTATGGAGAACAGTGAAAGTAATAGCAGTAACATTTCTATGACATTTTATTTAGTCAAGTTCCATACTATGGAGAACAGTGAAAGTAACAGCAGTAACATTTCTATGACATTTTATTTAGTCAAGTTCCATACTATGGAGAACAGTGAAAGTAATAGCAGTAACATTTCTATGACATTTTATTTAGTCAAGTTCCATACTATGGAGAACAGTGAAAGTAATAGCAGTAACATTTCTATGACATTTTATTTAGTCAAGTTCCATACTATGGAGAACAGTGAAAGTAATAGCAGTAACATTTCTATGACATTTTATTTAGTCAAGTTCCATACTATGGAGAACAGTGAAAGTAACAGCAGTAACATTTCTATGACATTTTATTTAGTCAAGTTCCATACTATGGAGAACAGTGAAAGTAATAGCAGTAACATTTCTATGACATTTTATTTAGTCAAGTTCCATACTATGGAGAACAGTGAAAGTAACAGCAGTAACATTTCTATGACATTTTATTTAGTCAAGTTCCATACTATGGAGAACAGTGAAAGTAACAGCAGTAACATTTCTATGACATTTTATTTAGTCAAGTTCCATACTATGGAGAACAGTGAAAGTAACAGCAGTAACATTTCTATGACATTTTATTTAGTCAAGTTCCATACTATGGAGAACAGTGAAAGTAACAGCAGTAACATTTCTATGACATTTTATTTAGTCAAGTTCCATACTATGGAGAACAGTGAAAGTAACAGCAGTAACATTTCTATGACATTTTATTTAGTCAAGTTCCATACTATGGAGAACAGTGAAAGTAACAGCAGTAACATTTCTATGACATTTTATTTAGTCAAGTTCCATACTATGGAGAACAGTGAAAGTAACAGCAGTAACATTTCTATGACATTTTATTTAGTCAAGTTCCATACTATGGAGAACAGTGAAAGTAACAGCAGTAACATTTCTATGACATTTTATTTAGTCAAGTTCCATACTATGGAGAACAGTGAAAGTAACAGCAGTAACATTTCTATGACATTTTATTTAGTCAAGTTCCATACTATGGAGAACAGTGAAAGTAACAGCAGTAACATTTCTATGACATTTTATTTAGTCAAGTTCCATACTATGGAGAACAGTGAAAAGTAACAGCAGTAACATTTCTATGACATTTTATTTAGTCAAGTTCCATACTATGGAGAACAGTGAAAGTAACAGCAGTAACATTTCTATGACATTTTATTTAGTCAAGTTCCATTCTATGGAGAACAGTGAAAGTAACAGCAGTAACATTTCTATGACATTTTATTTAGTCAAGTTCCATACTATGGAGAACAGTGAAAGTAACAGCAGTAACATTTCTATGACATTTTATTTAGTCAAGTTCCATACTATGGAGAACAGTGAAAGTAACAGCAGTAACATTTCTATGACATTTTATTTAGTCAAGTTCCATACTATGGAGAACAGTGAAAGTAATAGCAGTAACATTTCTATGACATTTTATTTAGTCAAGTTCCATACTATGGAGAACAGTGAAAGTAACAGCAGTAACATTTCTATGACATTTTATTTAGTCAAGTTCCATACTATGGAGAACAGTGAAAGTAATAGCAGTAACATTTCTATGACATTTTGTTTAGTCATTTAGTCAAGTTCCATACTATGGAGAACAGTGAAAGTAACAGCAGTAACATTTCCTAACCTTTAGTTAGTCAGAAATTCCTTGTGGTGGCAGTCAAGGTTTCTATAACTTTTAGCTTCCAAATCAAGCAGGTGCCACCTGTTAATAAAAGTTGGTTGCAGTAAATCTGCATTCACTGTCTCTCACCCTAGTTGTCTTTCACTGTAGCTGTTGTCTCTGAGTGCACGGGGGTCATAGCAAAAGCAAATGGACATCATTTAGTGCAACAAAGTCTGGCATATGGTATAACAACAGCTAGTTTGGGAATGGAATTAAAGGCAGTCACTGCTGCCTTCCGCTGGCTTTAGAATCAGCTGTACACACATGCCGTGATTGTAACTGACTCACAGAGCATGTGGAGACAGGCATGCTCCATGCAGAGTGGCAAGCATCACTTCAGAGGTCCCGGGTAGTTAGCGCCCTTTGGATATTTTTTTTAAAGAAATGCCAGTGTGTTGGGAAATGAGCAGGCAGATAAACTGGCCGGCTCTGCACCACGTGGGGATGAATTGATATATGACCAGCTAGATAGTGTGAGGGCCCTTTGGGAGCAAGTGAACAGTTCGGAGGCACAAATAGATCATTACGGTCTGAGGAGATTGGCACTGCGGGGAGTCACTAGAAGGTCTGGCTGACGCTCAACACTCAAGGGAAGGGCGAGACAGATATACAATCAAACAGTTACTGATGCCATCAGAACTGGAACTCTTCGCTTGCTGCCGAAGATGCGG